ACAACATGGCCATGCAAATATTATGTAAATTAGTTTTCCATCCATGCTTGTAAATTTGGGGACAAAAGCATAGTCAATCAGTGATATAATGTGTGAAATTAATATACAAGTTACCAAATTCTGCTAAAGTAATCTTTTGAATAATATTTTAAATTTGAATAACTTTGGCCATGTCATTGCTGTTTTCATCCATTCATTTTTCTTTGGCTTGGTCCCTTTATTCATCAGGGGCCAACTTATCCAGCATATTTTTTACACAGATGCCCTTCCAGCTGCAACCCTGTAACATTTGTACGTTTTCACATTCACAAAAATACACTACGTCCAATTTAGTTTAATTCACAGATAGTGCATGTCTTTGAACATGTGGGGGAAACTGGAGCACCCGGAGAAAACCCATGCCAACACGGGGAGAACATGTAAAACTCCACACTGAAATTCCAACTGACCTAGCCAAGACTTGAACCAGTGACCTTCTTGCTGTGAGGTGACAGTGCTAACTACTGAGTCACTGTGCCGCCCTCATTGCTGTTTTAATTTTTATTAATATTTGTCTATGTGATGAGCAGTCTAAGACAAATCTTGAGGATGTCCTGAACTTTAAAGTTAAACTTTCAATAATTTAACAACACATTTGTTTATTTACAGTTCTTTAATCTTGGTTAATGGTCACAAAATATTTAATGGTTCAGTTAGGTCTGTATTATGTTCAGATATACTAAAAATGTATTTGTTGAAAACAAATTAATGCAAATAATGTGGCTCAGTGGTTAGCACTGTCGCCTCACAGCAAGAAGGTTGCTAGTTTCAGTCCCGGCTGGGTCAGTTGGCATTTCTGTGTGGAGTTTGCATGTTCTCCTCATGTTTGCTTGGGTTTCCTCCTGGTGCTCCTCTCACAGTCCAAAGACATGCAGTATATGTGAATTGGGGAAATTAAATTAGCCTTAGTGGATGTGTGTGAATGAGTGCGTATGGATTTTTCCCAGTACTAGGTTGCAACTGGAAGGGCATCTGCTGTGTAAAACATATGCTGGATAAGTTGGCGGTTCATTCCACTGTGGCGACCCCCGATGAATAAAGCAAGCCGAAGGAAAATGAATGAAATTCATATACATTTTTAAATAAAAGGACATGACTAATCACAATAATTTTCATCATGTAATTTATAATCAGTAATAATTATGTTGAGTAGATTTTGACTTAATTTCCAGTTGATTTTCCAGATTTTATTATCCCTATTGTTGTTAAAAGAGTTACATTTTTAATATAAATGTTTTTTCTCTTTCCCAGAGATGGGTTGCGGCTGGAAGGGCATCCACTGCGTAAAAATGTGCTGGATAAGTTGGCGGTTAATTCCGCTGTGGCGACCCCGTAATAATAAAGGGACTAAGTCGACAAGAAAATGAATGAATGTTCTTTCTCACTAAAACAACATTCACTTCTTCTATTTAATTCTGGATAACCTTAACTTGACAAAGTAAAAGAAGTATCTTAAAAAGTATTAAAATAGATGAATCACATATTACAGTGTGCATTCTCTATAAATAAAATAATCATAAAAGTAATCTTTAGACAGATAAGAGCTTGTGATATTGATCAAAACATAAAGCCGATCAATGATTTATGAGGGAGTTCAGTTCTGAAACACTGATTGGTCACATGGCCACCCTTAATTGGGCAGAAGTGGCATATGGGAAATGCAGGCAACCATGTAGATGTCACATTACTTTTTCTTATACATACGAGCCAGTTGGCACATGGTGAGACCTTTGAACTGTTCCTCATATTTCACTCGTTGGTGAAGTTGTCATGCTTGACAGTACAAAATGTTGGTCTGTTTGGAATATGTGAAGATGAATAACTTTGAGTGAGTGAAAGAATATGTGAAAGAGATGCCATAGATTTTAGGGAATGATGGACTGGGATGATTAAAAAATAAATGCCTGTCATTAGTCAGTTTTCCCACACTCTTGCACTAAGAGTTAGGAAGCTTTTTTAGGTGATATGTGTGATTTTGACTCGATTGAGTTGTTTAAATCAGCCAGCCACGACAAGCCTCACATCGCAGTTAAGTAATCTGAAATAATTCCTTTGGTTTTCAGTTGCAGGAGATAAAATCCACAACCAGCAGATCTACAGAACAAACCACTGAACTGTTTGCTCGCTCACATTTTCAGACAAATCATGCAGCACAGCAAGGGGTTGCTGCCTATATAGAAGACTGAGTGAATACACTGGGCGTGATTGGCTAGCAGCTGTTTAGCATATTCTCTCTAATTGGCCAAAGAGCTGACATTGATGGATTGTCATTTTACTGATTGGTTCCTAGTAGAAATGACGTTCACAAATGCAGGGCAGGGCTAAACCTGTGGGGGTGTGGCTAATTTAATGTCTGCTGTCAATCATTGTGTGGACCCTTCACACAAAAGAAAGTGTTCAGTTTTTAGGGCCAAGATTTTGGTTTAAAACACATTAGCCTACGTTGCATTTATAATTAAACAAATAGATTGTGAATCTTGTGGAAAAAACAAGTAGCTACTTCATTCTTCAAAGGTACACAGTGTTTAACTTTTAATCTACAAAATAAATGAACACAGTAAAACTAAAGAATACATACGACAAAGCAAAATTAAAGAGAAATCTGATGTGGAGGTAAAGTAACTGATGACATCTTATTTCAGAATATTTTGGCTAATAAATCAAATGATCATTACATTGATGATTCTGTAAGTTTTGCCACAACATAACCATTACTCTAACTACTTAAAAAAAAGGAAAATTGTTTTGTTAACGTAAAATTAACTATTTTAATTAGGCGTTTCTTGGAAAACTAAATGGGTGTACTTTGGAAGGCCTGCTGTTTAACTATCATAAGTATCTGTCATATATCCTTAAAATCATATTGAAATATGTGTAGTGCTGGATTTCAAGATCTCATGAAATTAATTCATCCATGAAACCAGGCGCTTTTAAACCAGATCCAACGCCTTATGGAAAGCCTGAGCTCACAGAGAGAAACGGCCCGCCATTTTGTCTCCTGTTTATCGTCAGGTCGCCTGCCAACTCCGCGTCTCCCAATCAGGGCGCACAGAGGAACACATGGTCCGCGGGGCTCCTCAATACCCTCGCGTGCCGCACGCCCTATTTCAAATAAACACCGGGTCCACTTGGCGCAGCGAGACCCGCCATCTGCCCAAACAGAGCATGCGGAAAATAAATGCCGCTCTCCTAAACAAATAAACCGTCGCGCCATTCAGAACTCTCGTACTCGGCGCGGGACTTAAGCGCGGGAAAGGAAAAAAACACGATTTATCCCCACCAAGGGTAAACACGGCGACAGGCCCCTGAATATATGAGAAGACTGATAGAATGGAAAGCTTTCACAAAGTATAAAGTCAGCAGGGAAGTAATCAAGAGGGAAAGTGTGTAGGCGAGGTAGTTTGGAGAAACAAATGATAAGGGTTTTCAAGCAGAAACAGTAGGCCGCGGTCATAGTTGTGTACGTCCAGATTCCAGCAGATGACAGCGGTATAAAGCCAACCAGAAAGAAAGGTTAAATCCCTTACAAAAAGTAACCAAGGTTTTATAGTAACATTCTTATAGCTAAATGTTTAATTCTTTAAGACAGATGTCTACCAATTAGCTACTCAAATGGTTAACTACTGAAACCCCATGGTTGTGGATACTATGTTTTTTATTTATTTGTAAAATTGTGGTCAGTTAATTTTACTAAGGGTTGTTTTACTCAAACGTAAACGACTGACAAATGCTGTAAATGTAAATAAAGATGTTAATATATTTTATTATTATATGCCATTATTAGCTAAGTAGCCCTAATATTTTTGATTCATACCAATGAAGTGTATTTACATTTTCATTCATTCTTTTTCTTTTCAGCTTAGTTCCTTTATTGATCAGGGGTTGCCACCATGGAGTGAACCGCCAGCTTATCCAGCATATGTTTTACACAGCGGATGCCCTTCCAGCTGCAACCCATCATTGGGAAACATCAATACACTCTCATTCACACTCATACCGTATTCACATTTTCTATAGTTAATATAGGGTAGGCAATACAGTTAAAAGTTAAAGTTAAAAGTCTCAAATCCAGCTGTTGAAGGTCATATTTCAAGGGTAACCTTTTATACTATATATAAATAAACTTAATGAATTTATTTATTTCACACAAAAGTTAATAACAGATTCACTTTCACGAATTGCATGTATTTTGAGAATAAAATAATAATAATACAATAAATTCTGAAGGATCATGTAACATAAATGTATAATATGTTAGCTTAGAACTTCTAAAAGGATAATTTGAATGTATTGTAGTAGTTAAATGACAAAATAGGACTAATGTTGTTAATGTAAAAAAGTTAACTTGATTGTTATATAATGAATAGCTATCAAATAAATTATTTTATTATGATCGCATTTTAAAATATTGATTGCCTAATATCACAAAAAATCACACATTTAATAGTGTGGTAGCTTTATGATCATGTTCTGTTTTCACAGCAAGTCTTGTGCATCAACCTTGCAACCAGAAGAGGGCGATGGAGCATCAAGATGCAGAAAAGACTGAGGCTTTCTACTGGTTTGCCTTTCCTCATGTTCTGGTTCTTCATGACACCACAAGAATTTGGAATCTGAAGGTACAAGGCTGTGTGAGTTCTACATCACTTACTTTTTTAGTTGTTATCTTTGTTGTCCATCAGTCAACTTCTGCATTGTTGATTTTGTTGTTAAGTATGGTGAAATGTCACTGGATGTTCTGTATTTATGAAAATTTAGCAGAATATGGCATAGGTGGAAAAGTAATTATGTGATTTGTTCAAAAGCATAATTTTGCAGTGAAATAAATAATAATTTGTTAAGCAAAACATTTTTAAAAATGGCATAAAGTCAGTCTCTCTCTCTCTCTCTCTCTCTCTCTCCCTCTCCCTCTCCCTCTCTCTCTCTCTCTCTCTCTCTCTCTCTCTCAAACTCAGGGTGGAGAATAAGATGATTGGCTATTTTTGCAGTTCGTCATATAGGAGGCAGGGCTGTCGGAGATAGCCGTCCTTTTAGGGCCATAATTGAGGCGGGCAGGACGGCATGTGTGGGCGTGATAGGGTGATTGTGTCACAGAAAGCAAGATTGACAGGAGTGACAGCTCCATTTATTGGCTGCTAGAGTCTAGTCAGCAAAAGGGCATTCAGGGCCACCGACTGGCTCTGCTGGCGGCCTGAGCAGTCGGCGCCTGGTGAGTAAGCATTTAGACAGCAGCCCTCACCGCTGCAATGCATGGGAGAAATATCTCTGTCAACACTGACTCTGATCTTTGATGGTGCCTCTAAAGAGGAAGGTCATACATATGAATGCAATCTCTGTCACACTCTTTTTCACACACACTCTGGCACATAAACACACACACAAAACCAAGGCTGACATAAATTGCGCATAATGCCATGTTGTCAGAGTCCCTTGGCACAAAGATTCAGCAGTAAATACCCTTGACTAAAGGTTCACAGTCCTGACCCTGGAAATATATGGGTGAACATTTCTCAGCTCACTTTGTTTTGAATGTTCTCTTTGTGGAATGATTATAGGCTGTAATAAAGTTTCATTTTTGGTGTTTGGGGTTCTTGTTGAGTGTGGAGATTGAAATGATGGTTAAAGGTAAAATGTTGGAAATACAAATCCAGTCAGTTTTATTGAGAGTGCCTGTTTTACTGCCCAATATTTCAAATTTTAACTGAGGGTGAAATCAGGATGCAGAAACATAATTTAAGTATTGTGGAGAAATTGCAAAACTTTGAGTTTCTTTTATGTTTTGAACTCCGCAGTATTTATAATTCTTTTAAAATATTTGATTGGTGTGTTTTTATGTAAATCTTATTAATTTAATAGCACTGCAGAAATTTCTGCAGTATTACTATACTCTTCTGTGCAGACCCGTAGCTAGGAGGGGTTCCTAAAGATTTAGATTAAGGAAATGTAAAACTATTTTTGGACATTTTTGGTAAATCAAAAAGTGTGGTGGCAGTTGATTCCGCTGTGGTCACCTCTGATTAATAAAGGGACTAATCTAAAACAAATTAATGAATAAATAAATAAAAAAGTGTGGTTATGAAAAATAAGACTTATTTAAAAAAAGACTTAAAAAATAGCTTTCAAAAAATTAAAAACTGCTTTTATTCTAGCCGATATAAAACAAATGAGACTTTCTCCAGAAGAAAAAATATTGTCAGACATACTCTGTGAAAAATTTCCTTGCTCCGTTAAATATAATTTGGAAAATATTTAAAAAAGAAAAAAAAATTAAAAGGGGTGCTAATAATTCTGACTTCAACTGCACACACCCACACAAAGACAGATTAATACATTCATATTATATAATCTGATAAATTTAAATAATAACTGAAGAGATTTGTAATCCATGACATGAGGTGCACTCCCAAATTGTGTTATCTTATGAATAGCTTTAATTTCATAACTCTTTGTTGTTGTCAGTCTCAATACACCTCCTTGGGGTGTGGCTAATTCTGGCACATGGTACAGAATTTAATTCTGCATTTGTGCCCAGTTGATTTAAAACATAAAATTGTCTTTTAAGAGATGTTCAAAAAAAATACAGAAATGAAAAGAATGTTTTGCCCATTAAACCCTTTAACATTTAAGGAAAATAGTTTTTTGGAAATGTACTGGCATTACTGACTTAAACTTTTTTTGGGTTTTCTCTTTGTCTATTTCCAGTAATGCATGAAGCCCTGGAGTCATGGTAAATAGCATCTCTTGTGCTTCAGGAATTTTATCCAACATGGAGGATGAAGAGATTTCTCCTGGTGAGTTCTGGGAACTCTGTGTATGTGATTTCTGATAAAATAATCCTGCAGTAACTTTGGTCAAAAGTCCCCTGTACTTGTTGCACTTGGCTAATGAATGTCTACGACAATATTTAACCCACAATTTTGGCTTCTTTGCACACACATAAACATCTACACAGGCACAGATATACACACATCAAACAAAAATCATTCTTTTATATATGTTTGAATAACCTTTCCCTCAAACAAAGGTGAAAGAAAATAAACACTATCCAGAGGAAATGTCCTTCTAAAGGAAACACGCTCACTTGGTCTTACGGCATGTTTTGGTAGTAAAATATTTGCGTTTCACTTTTTTAGAAACGCTGATGTCCTGAGTGTTGTGACCTCAGAATGTTAAAACTGGCGATGTTATAAAGCAACCATGCTTCATGGAAGATTGAGGTATTTTATTCCAACTTGCGTGGTTATAGTTAGTACTACTGTATATAGAAAAGATGGACCATCGGTCCAGGATTGAGAAGCAGTGTCCTTCAGACTAATAAAAGCAGGCGATTCATATACTTAGAAAAAGGCCACAGAAAGTACCACCTAATATCCTAAAGCTGTCATGCTCACAGAATCACTTAATAAGGCACATAATCGTAAGAGGCGGCCAGGACCTCAGATGACACTAAATCAATTGGCAGACGGTAACTCCTCAGGCGGGCCACGGTACCTAAGCTTTGAGTTATGACTTTCGATGTGCCCCAGGGCTCAATACTCGGCCCACTCACACTTCTCTCCGTCCCAACTTTACCCTCTGGACTTAATTCATTTTTCCCTTGCTGGATCTGACAGGTTGCGTGTTACTTGGCGCCTCTCAAGTCACCAGGCCAGTGCTATGATTAAGGGAGATGGAGGAGGATTAATGGAAAAGTACAGGAACGGCAAGGAACGGTGTTGACCTAGAGGGAAGAACCTTGTGCTAATTCCTAACATGCTGCTTGTTTCTGGCAGGCAAAGATAAAAGGTTATATGTCTCAAGAAACCGTAAGTACGTCAGAAGTGTTTATTTGGTTTGTCCAGGCTATATTGAAACAGTTGTTTGCGAAGGAAATTGAAATTATAGTGCTGCATAACCAAGCTATTTGCTGTGGAGGTCTTGCTTAATCATTTCCATAGCTCGTGTTGTCTTTGGTGTCAGTTCCCATCTGCAGATGATACCGCTAAAGAATGAATGGCAATCAGATGTTAGTTGTTTTTGAACAGAGTTGGAGAGCACTTTCCTACAGTAATCACGAGAGAATGCTGCGCCCAGAATTGCCGTCGCCACAAAGAACGCTTAATCCCTGTCACTTCTCCATCTTTACCAGCATGCATCTATTGTTCGGTTTGTGCTCATCCCAACAAGACGACGTTAAACGGCAGTGGAGGTTTTCCAGGTTAGCTTCCCACATTCTCCTCACTAATCAAGAGCTGCCTCGTAATAACGATAAATCTCTCGTTCTGACATGCGACATAAATAAAGCAAACAGGCCTCGGTTTGATTACCCAGACTCCCCGTGAACAGACGGGCATTTGAGTGGCTCTGCTATTTATCAACCTGGATCTCCCTTCCTCTCAATCTCTCCAGCACTCAAAAAAGCGCCGTCACTGATTGCGTTTAATGTCTAACACATGGCCTGGCCAAGCATTCCCACTGCTGCCCGGGGAGGTGTTTGGACTGATTAAGAGAACTGCATTTGCAGCCAAAGACTTGGGTTGTGAAAGCGAAAGGTTTTGGCAAGGCGGCAGAATTTGGGGTGTAGCTCCAGGGATTAGAATGCTCCTGCCTCTGTGGTTAGCGGACAGAGTTTCTACTCTTAGAGTCTTGCAGAAGCATCCAAACGGAAAAAGAAATGGAGTATGGCTGCAATTACTTATTATCCTGAGGAGTGTTTCCTCACTTCAGCACCTCACCTTTTTCCCTTTCTCTCCCTCACTTTTTCCTTTTCCCCTTCATCCATTCAGCGCTTCTCCTTTTGCCGGCTGCCTGGGGTCACATTTAACCTGGAAGTGCTTTGATTGGGCCGGGGGTCACTTCACGGGCCCCCAAATTGCCTGCACCCATCCGTCACTGTCAGGCCATTATTAGTGCTATTATCATCAAAGTCACAGTCTGAATTATAGTGCATGCAAACGGTTCGCCTATTGGACTTAAAGGCGACTTGAGCCGGGATGACAGCAAAAAGGGTTGAGACCTTGCCGATGACATCACTCTAATCCCTCAAAGGCAGAAATGGCTGACACTGAACAGAACAGTGTTCAGGTTGCACAGCTTCATGTTGTCTTGAAACTCTCAGATTCATGTTAACAGGCGACCGTAGGCCAAATGTAGACTAGCCGGCAGATTTGTGAGCAGTAGATTAGTGAAAAGGTCTTGTTTCTTACAGAAAAAGCAATGAGATGTTAATAGTTAACGAGAAACAACATTTGACGTGTGGGGAAATTATTCATATAGCAGCATAGGCTTTTATACAAAGAACTTACAAATGAGAAATAATCCTACAACTTAATGTTATGTGAAATGAAAATTTACAATGTTTATTTTGTTATTCTTAAGGTAAATAATTAATCTGACAATTAATAATCAGTCAAATTTGTTGACCCTTTGCCTCTGCATTTGAAATGGCCGTCTTTCATTTGATGTCAACTTGAGAGCTTTCATAGCAGTATATCAAAATCAAAATCTTAACTATGCCCCTCTTAATGTTAGTTTGCTGCAAAAAAGAAAATAAAGATGCCCCTCTCCTAATCAATCTGCATTTTCAGTTGGAAGTACATCAACATACTGAAATAAAAGTCTCAGCAACATCTGATTTACATTTAACCACATTGAGCATCAAGTATCAAGCAAGTAGTTGTGTTCACTCGTGAAGAAATGCCATGCACCTGCACACATACAGTCCTGAAGTCTACCAAATTTCTTGGTTGTCATGTATGCACTTAACATATAACAATATCTTGTTAAAAGACTTGCACTCTAATACCCACTTACAAAAGTTTGAATGAAGAAAAAAGAACAAAAGGTAAAGTACCCTTCTAAAATATTTAATGTTTAAGAAAAGTATTAAACATGTATATTTTTGGTTATTGATTGATGACATGCTGAGACTGACATACTGACATTCATTCATTCATTTTCCTTTTGGCTTAGTCCCTTTTATTAATTTGGGGTTGCCACAGCGGAATGAACCACCAACTTATCCAGCATATGTTTTACACAGCTGATGCCTTTTCAGTTGCAACCCATCACTAGGAAACATCCATACACACTCATTCACACAGATACACTACGGCCAATTTAGCTTTAAAATAGGTTGGCGGTTCATTTCGCTGTGGCGACCCTGGATTAATAATGGGACTGAGCCAAAAAGAAAATGAATGAATTAATTTACCTATAGCACATGTTTTTGGACTTGTGGGGGAAACTGGAGAACACACAAACTCTACACAGAAATGCCAGCTGACCCAGCCGAGGCTCAAACCAGCAACCTTATTGCTGTAAGGTGATTGTGCTACCGACTGCACCAACGTGCTGCCCAACATACTGACATTCCACCCAAAAATGATCATCTGGTTCCTTTTGGTTTTTCATGTTCTTCTTCATGCAATGAAGTGATTTTGAAGAATGCTGGTAAGAAAATAGTTTCTCTTTCCTTTGACTTGCATTGACATTGTTTTTAATTGTCAATAGTAACCAAAATTGCTTGGTTATTTATCCAACATTCTTCAAAATATCTTATTTTATCTTCCATATAGTGAAGAGTCATTTTGAGATACATTTACATTACATTTACATTTAGTCATTTAGCAGACGCTTTTATCCAAAGCGACTTACAAATGAGGACAAGGAAGCAATTTACACAACTAAGAGCAACGTTCAGATACAACGTTCAAAGATACAAGTAGTCAAGTGTCCACAATATGTTTTATATAAATATATTTTTGAGAGTATTGAGAGTCATTTCACATTTACAATGTGAGTTTACATACGTAATTTGGAACCATCTCTGATTTGAAAAACTGAACGTAGTATTAGCATGTAAACCATACAGCATGCTATGACTGAGTAAGACTAAAATGGTTGTGAATGCAGGATTTGAAAGCTTTTAAGTGTATGATTTTTACACGATAAAGAATTACAAAACTAACAACTTTTTTTTTCTGAGCAGTTTGCGCATTAAACTGTGACAAGACATCATTTATACATCAAAATATACAAAAATGACACATTTCACCTTTAAGTGAACTCTACAGCGAGATCACCTCACAGCAAGAAGGTCGCTAGTTTGAGTTCTGGGTGGGTCAGTTGGCATTTCTGTGTGGAGTTTGCATGTTCTCCCCTGTTGGCATAGATTTCCTCTGTATGTTCCAGTTTCCCCCACAGTCTGAAGACATGCAACATAGGTGAATTGAATAAACTAAATTTGCCGTAGTGTATGTGTGTGGATGCAAGAGTGTATGGGTGTTTCCCAGTGTTGGGTTGCAGCTAAAAGGGCATCTGCTGTGTAAAACACATGCTGGATAAGTTGGCAGTTCATTCCGCTGTGGTGACCGCTGATTATTAAGGGACTAAGCCGACAAGAAAATGAATGAATGAATAAAACTAATCTTCAAACGTTATTGCACTCCTTCACATTCAGTGCTGCCCTGGACACCGAGTGGCCTGCATTGTTTTGCACTCATGTGTCAGTCGATGTTGTCTCTCTGCGACAGATCTTAAGGCAGTGCTGTTGTCCTTTTAAATTAAGCTTCTCCATATGCATGAGCAAAGCGGGGGGAGAAAACGTTGGCAATGAAGGAAAGAAGTGCCATGGCGGGGAGTCTAATCAAGTGACAAACTGCTGAGCTGACTCAAAACACGAGCTGTTCATCGGAGATAGGTAAGCATGAGAAACACACTCTTTCATGTGCATCCTTGGAGAAATGCTTTAGAGCTGCCTTAAATGTAGATAGTATAGTATGTCCATGTGATGATTTGTATCATCCTTTCTTGTCGGGTGGCCCACCTTTCATTATATCATTTTAGGGCGCTCCCGAAGGTTGATGGGAGTAGGGTCAAAGTTCAACTCTGACGCCCCCATATGGTCAATTAAATCCCACTCAGTGCCCAAACAGGGCCTCTTTCTTTATGGCACTATTTACTCGTCTATTTTTATTATGTACAGAGAATGAAAGATGATATTCCAGATTATACGTTTATTTTGTAACACTTTAGTTCTGGTCACAATTCATGCTATTAACTACAGGATTATAACCTGCCTATTATTAACTTTTTAGTAGTATGTATAAAGTTGGATCTATTTCTACATCCCTAACCCTACCCAAAACCTAAACCCAACTACTATTTTTCTAACTATTAATAAACGGTTAATTAGTAGTTTATTAAATTACAAGTATTAGTTAATGGTTTGTTAATACCAATATTTGTGACCTAAACTAAAGTGTTACCATGTATTTCTACTTTCTCTGGATTTATTAGGTATGGCTTTCAGTAAAATATTAATATTTGTTATATTCTATAAAAAGTCTCTTTCTTCCAAGTGACACAAAAATACTATCATTTTTCAGAAAATGTTTTGAATCACTCACCTGTTTTTCAGGAAAAGGACAACAGGTCAGTATAGCAAATGTGAAAATCAGAATATTTTTTTCTCAGCTCCTCTGAAGTAAAGCATGTTATGCTATTATGTTGTCTACCAATACATTATATAAACATATAAACAAAAAAAAATAATTTATAATATTATTATTTTAAAGTTTAAAGAAATGTCATTAGTTGTTAAACAAACTTTCACTCAAACAAATATTTTTTTACTTAATTGGAATCAACTGAATTTGCTTACCTGTTAAAACAATTAATGTTATTATTAAGTAAGTTGGTGTTACTAAACTGCCTAAAGGCATAGTCCACCTAAAACTGAAAATACTTTCTGCATCTACTTGTGTCACAAACCTGTTTGAATTTCATTCATTTATTAGTTCATTCATTCAATTTCCTTCAGCTTAGTACCTTATTTATCAGGGGTCATCCCAGCGGAATGAACCGCCAACTATTCCAGCATATGATTTATGCAGCGTAAGTCCTTCTAGCTGCAACCCGGCACTAAGAAAGCCCCATACACTCACTATCACACACAAACACACTCACACACTATGACCAATTTAGTGTATTCAGTTGTCCTATACTGCATGTCTTTGTACTGTGAGGCAAACTGGAGCACCCAGAAACCTACGCAAACACGGGGAGAACATGCACACTCCACAGCCCCTTCTTGCTGTGAGGCGACAGTGCTAACCACTAAGCCACTGTGCAGCCTTGAACATCTTTATTACTTGTTTCAGCTTGCATATCACAACAGATTACACAGTTACAGAATAATAATCATGTAGACACAGCAAACATTTTACACCCTATTCTCCCTCCCATCAACCCGTGACCTAAAAAAAGGTTTAAATCAGGTAAAGAAGACAGTTTCCCAAGTCTGTCTTTACACCATGGTAGCACTATCACCTCACAGCAAGAAGGTCGCTGGTTTGAGCCCCAACTGGTTCAGTTGGCATTTCTGTGTGAAGTTTGCATGTTCTCCCCATGTTTGCGTGGGTTTCCACCTGGTGCTATGGGTTTCCCCATAGTTCAAAGACATACAGTACAGTGCTGGATAAGTTGGTGGTTCATTCTACTGTGGCGACCCCAGATTAATAAAGGGACTAAGCCAAAAAGAAAATAAATGATTAAATGTAAAATACACATTTCTATGAATCTGACCTCTTTTGCTTTGTAAGAGAGGGCTGACAGCATATATAACCAGGATAAGAATTTCTTCCTTTATTTTGAAAGCTGTTGGAAGCCTGAAACCATTGAATTTCACAGTATTTGTTTTTTTTATACTATGGAAGTCAACAGCTTTCTAACATTTTAAGAAATATTTTCTTTTGTGATCAGCAGAAAAAAGATTCATAAACAAATGAAACCATTTGAAGGAGAGTAAATATTAAGTAATTTTTTTCAGTTTTGGATGAACTGTCCCTTTAAATAGCGATGAAGGAAACACTCAGTGTATTTTTGTACACTGTTTTGTCGTCACTGGCGCCATGAAAATAATTCTGTTCCAGTATTTTGTTTACTTTTTAATCGGTTGATTCACAACCCCATGTTGTGGTTTTATACTGACCTTATATCAGGACCTTAGTACAAATCCCCATGCATAAGCAAGTCTGACAGTCACAAGACAAACTTGAAAGCTGCTCTCAAACCAAACGAGGAATGGCAGCCTGTGACCCAGAAAAGGCGCTTCATGCTGTAGGTGCAATTGATTTGTCAGGAAAGAGGTGAAAGGCCTTATGGGCAAAGTAAATAAAAGAATGCATATCAATATATCATCAATACTCTTCTTTATGCTGGTTCAGATGCTCTCAGGAGGCTAAAAATGCTGGCCGGAGATCAATAAGGAGTCTGAGCTAGAAAGATGGTGGCTTTGCTGTCAGGTTTTGTACTCTGGACTGTAATACCATCTGCAGTGATGGAGATTAACTTTAGTCATGGATCTTCATGTTCGCTCTCTGCAGATCAGGAGCGTCACGGTGGGTTCGGCTGGATGAGTGAGTCATTTTCTTCAAGTACGTTGGAATGAACACTTCTCAAATGGGTTAAAGTGAAATGACTGGGGCCACCAGGATCAATATAGTGTAGATTTCATGCCTGTCTAATCACGGACACAAGAGAAGGTGCCAGTTTTCTTTCTCTAGTATGTAAGTGTATCTCTTTCTTAAGCAATTCTGTAGTCAAGGCTATTTGTGTTTCCAACAGAGACTTTGTGCTGGATGGTTTTAAATTGAATCAGCAAGCTCATATAGAAATAGATTCATTCATTCCTTTATCAGGGGTCGCAACTGCAAAATGAACCGCCAATTTATCCAGCATATGTTTTATACAGCAAATGTCCTTCCAGATGCAACCTAGTACTGGGAAACATCCATACACACTCATTCACACACACTCATACACTATGGTCCCATGCAGCATGACTTTAGACTGTGTGGGAAACCAGAGCACCCAGAGGAAACTCACATGAACACAGGGAGAACATGCAAACTCCACACAGAAATGGCAACTAACCCAGCTGGCACTCGAACAAGCAACTTTCTTGCTGTGAGGTGACTGATAACCACAGAGCCACAGTCTTGCCCTAGAAATAGATTTAGTTTAAATGAGACATATCATCATTATCTAACTTTACTTGTAGCATTAAGAACAGTTTCAGTTCATCATCGAAAAAACACTAATAATGATGTAAACATGAACAAGTACACTGTGAACAGATCAGGTAAATCATATTTAAAATACTTTTGACCAAACCAAACATCTGTAAGAGAGCCAACTTCAAGAAAGCTTATACTCTTAAAATGCTGGATTATTATACATTTTATGTACTTAATACATTTTAAACATTATAAATTATAAAAACTTTATAAATATATAAAAAGACAAACAGCATATTGGTTTGTCTATACTTCACTCAAATGTTGGTTGAAATAACCCAGCATTTTTAGAGTGTATAGATAAAATTGGAAGCACATGAATTAATACATTTAATTTATCATTACATTTTTTTGACAGGAAGAGAACATAATTCCAAGATATCAGTGTGTAATTCTGAGAAATAAAGTCAAATTTGCAAGAAATAAAATTGATTTAAAAAATCTGAATACCAAGAAATAAACTTTTGACGTTTGAACTGTAAGAAATAAAGTTAAAACTTTGAAAAAAAAATCTTTAAATAAATAAGGTTAAAAATAAACCTTTAATAAATCATATCATAAATAAATTATAAATTAAGTAAATCTTATTTAAAAAAAAAGCAGGATTGCAAGACAAATGTCAAATTTCAAACAAAGTCAGCATCATGAACAATACAAGATTGTGAGAAAGGCCATAAACTCAGAATTGCAAGAAATTAAAGTAACACTTGAAAAAAGTCACAGTTGCATTGTGAAAAAATTGCAAGAAATAAAGTCATAATTACAAGCTACAAACTTAAAAACACATGGGGAAATAAACTATGGAAATAAATAAGACTACAATTTTTAACTCTGCAGAAACATTCTCCCTACTCACCTGTCAACGATTTAGTATGCAAAAATTAAGATTTATTAAAAAGAGGCATGGGACGATAGCCGGTTTTAAAACCACTATAATTATCTGTTATACTATTCCTAAGAGATATGTAAGGTTTTTTTATGTGTTGTAAAGAAATCAGTGGTTTTGAAACAAATGAAGATAGCAATGATTTATGTTAATTATTTAGCCTGACGTGTTTGCTGTTCTAAAATATTTCAAATCTTTCCTAAAATAAAATATATAGTGTGTGTGTGTTTTTTTTTTTTTTTTTTGCTCAGACAATTAAAAAGAACTTATTTTAGAGCAGTACTCACAACACCGTGATAACTGTGATATTTTTATCAAGGTTATCATACTGTCAGAAACTTATACCGGCTCATGCCTAATTAACAGAAGTGTTCAGGAAATGTCCTTAGTTTTTGTTATATGTCTAAAGTACCTCTGTCATTTGCTTTAATACAGGCCGTCTCAGAAATATTTAAATTAATTGAGCATGAATCAAACATTAGGTCATTTGAGCCATATTCTCACTACAGCAATACTCTACTGCTGGACCAGACACTATTTGACTGACCTTTTGTGATCCTAAGACTGCTTTAATGAGTTACAGGATCCACTTTGTTCCAGTTGAGAGCAGCTTCTCTCCTTCTTTCCCTGCAGAGCCCTCTCTTTTACAACCTCAGGTGCTTCTGGATACACTTAGTGCTCACTGTATGTCACCTGGGACTACCCGAGATCAACCCTTAGCTGACCTCTCTCTGGTATCTGTGCGCACACTGCCAAAAAAGACAGAATGAGAGAGTAAGAAATAGAAAGTGCCCTAAAAAGTCTTAACATGAAAGAAATCTTTAAAAAAGCTATATATAAGATTGTTTTTACTTTACTTTGGACATATTTTTGAATTAGACAAATGCAAGATTCAAAGGCCTTTGATGGATGTAATTAATATATTTTAATAACCAATATATTTAATATAAAGAGTTAAAGGTTTCAATCTTTATTTTTATGTCTCAAAAAAGTATGCAACACATTTAGTCATTTTATGCTCACATGCCTGTTTGTACAATAATTGAGAAAATGTAATAAAATTTTTTAATTTTTCACCATTCTGCACAAAGTGCAAATTATATAACTTGATAAGATTAAAATATGATGGAATGATTTTCTTAAGGTTATGCTTTTCATAATTACAATTGATTAATTTGTAAAATTATTTGTATAATTTTTATTGAATATGACTGCTTCTTTTAATGATGTGCAAGATATAATTATGACTTTAACTTAGTCAAGCAGCCAAGAAGCCATTTGATTAATGTAAAACTACAGACATTTGTTTTAAATGTCAGATAATAGTTAATCAATCATATTTAATAGATAATAACAATGTGTTTAATAACTCTAATGACTGAAAAATAGCCACATCTTTTGTGAAGGGTTTCAGTAAATCAAAATTTCTAAAATAAACAAGCAAACTAACAGTAAGAGATATTTAAAACTTTTAGACTTTATTGATGCTATTAATCTTGCCATTTTACGCAATAGCCTAAATAAAAACAGATAAGAGTTGGGAGCTGTACTAAAGGACTTTATGATAGCAGCTGTAGTAATCATCTCAACATGACACTTTATGTGCTGTTTAATCAACCTTTTTTCTTCAAAGATTTAAGACATTAAGCACTATTAAAACTTTTAGGGTCCCCCTTTGGCACATTTTACTCGTTTTGAAGTGTTTGGAGACGCACTCGTGATGTTGACACGCCAGAGTGTCTTTAACTTTAATCGAAATGCCACGAGCGTGAAAGTCATCAGGCTGTCACGGATCTGCGCGTGGCCATGACCGGCATGATAAAGAACCGGACGCTATTTCGGCGAGGAAAACGGCTAATGGGCGAAAGATGAGGAGAAAAACAATAGCGAAGCGCATACTGTACAATGGATACGAGAGATACGAAGAGACAGCCGAGGAAACGGGCGCTAGGGCGAACCACGTCTTCAGTGTATGTAAACATCAAGCTTTTGTCGCGTAGTGTCATTGTTTTGCAGAGCCTTGATTTAATTATGTGACTGATCTTTCAGCAAGAACCGGCGAAGAGGAGAAAATGGAGAGGACTAAATGGAGAGGACATCTCACCTTGCAATGTTGACTACATCAAGTTCAAAACAAAGGTCTGTTCGTGTTTTTATTGCTCAGTCAATATGACAGCAGTTCTGTTTTTAACTGATAGCTGAATAAATTAGATTGGCTGGCAACATCAATTCTTCTCATTTATTAGCTTTGAGATTGTAATAATGTTGTGTAATACGTTACGTGAGATACAAACGATGCACTGAATATTTAATGTGATATATGTGCTTTAAATCGTTTCAGATTTGTTTATATCTGTAGTTTAATGAAGGTTAATAGGATCATCAAATGAAGACACTAGAGGCATCGTTTGGGGTTCCTCGCCCTGGCAAAACCCTCTGGAGGTCCATTAGGTAACATTTCAAAAAGGAAAAAGCTTTCTAAGAGTTTAAAGGAAACCCCATTGTACTTAATAGGCTTTCACCAGTTTCTCAACAAATCCTGTTATTTGGGAAATGTTTAGAGGTGCTTGAATTTTTAACAAGAAGCTTGAGACATTTGGATTTGTCAGCGTGAGGAATGCTGATTGATGCCTATCAGTTTCTTGAAAAAAAAATAGCCAAAACTGTGGTATTTTAAGTGAAACAGTCCATTGTATTCATGTTTAATTCATATGGTTTTAATTTGCATTTAAACAGGCTTTTGAGGTGGATAAAGCCCTTGGAGATGCAGCTAGGGATACAGACTTTACTATGGAGGTAATGTGTATCACCACATAACACTGCTTTTGAAAGAATATAGCATTTAATTCACTGCTAGTTAAATTAGGATATCTGTAAACATCTGCAGTGAAATGCTTTTGACAGCCAATTGCCTTCATGTCTTACTTAACTCCATATATTTCATCCAAAAATGAAAACCTGATGGATCCTCAGCAAATCCAAGATATAGTGACTTGTTTTCTTCAGTGGAACCAGATTATTAGCTGAAACTGGTCTTTTGTGATTCATACAATACAATACTATTTTAGTCTTTAGGAATAAATTTAAGTGTTATGAAGTGAAATGAATGTTTACAGTTATTTACAGATTATGTACAGATTATGTCTCATGACAGTCTGAATTGCGAGCTTGCTGACTCATAATAACGCATATTAAAGTTTGGGAAAAGATGTGAAAAGTCATTAATTCATTTTCCTTCGGCTTAGTCCCTTTATTAATTAGGGGTTGCCACAGCAAAATGAATCGCCAACCTATCCAGCAAATGTTTTACACAGCGGATGCCCTTCCAGCTGCAACCCAGCACTCAAACATCCATTCAAACTCATTCACACACATACACTACGGCCAATTTAGTTTGTTCGTTCAATTCACCTATTCTTTAAACTGTGGGGGAAACCAGAGCATCCAGAGGAAACCCACACAAACTTGGGGAGAACATGCTAACTCCACACAGAAATGCCACCAGCCAAGACTCGAAGCGGTGACCTTCTTGCTGTGGGGCGACAGTGCTAACCACTGAGCCACTGTATTGGCCCACACAATACAATATAATAACAATATTTTAGTCTTTGGTAATAAATTTAGGTCTTGAAAGTGTAAGTGAAATGATTCTTTACAGTTACTAACGCCCTATTCACACGGGGCGTCAGCGTCAACGCTTCCCATTAACTTTGAATGGGTGACGTCAGGCGTTGCCGAACTGCATTGTGGATCCGTCGGCGGCGCTTCAGAAGCGTTCCT